AAGAATTCATCCATTAGACCATTTCAGTAAAACTGCTATTGAATAGCAATTTGAGTAACTCTGAAATTCCTTATGCATTGATCTTTTCTTATGATGGAAGGAGACTTCCATATCCCTTGGGTATACAACTTTGAGTATATTATTAGAAAGGATAACAAATGACCTTTTGAGTTTAACAACAATTGTTTGACTTGGTTCTCTTTGCAGCAAGTTTATGGATAACAAGTAATGGAAAATGACTTCTTGTTGAGGCAATCTTGAAAAAGAGCACTATCTTATGCTGAATCAAACAAGTCTAAATCAATTGACTTAATGAAAACATATCACTTTCACTAATAGGTGCTGATAGGTATCAAGTAACTAATCTAATGCTTTAATTAATGATTGACGTGCAATTATTCATTTACTTAATGAAATTTCTGGGGCTGAAGATCTGCTCGTTTGTATTTTCTATTGATTAACAATTACATTTAAAGAATATAGGAGAGATAGTCTTCTGAATTCAATCAACGCATAAATTCTGCTGTTTTAATTTTATCCATAATTGTGGCATAGGATAACAAAGTCAAGTTTACTTTTGTTATACTTTAACCTACTTCTTTCACATCCTCTGACCCTTTCTTTCATCTTTCCTTTTCAACAATTAGGTTGTTGAAAGTGGTGGAAAGAACGTAGAGGTTGCTGTGATGACTAAAGAGCATGGTCTGAGGCAGCTTGAGGAAGCTGAAATTGATGCCACTGTTGCTGAGATTGAAGCAGAGAAAGCAGCAGCTGAGACTGCGAAGAAGGCCCCTCCCAAAGATACCTAATTTTATTATATCTTGTGTATTAACCTACCCCTCATTCCCTGTACCAATTATGCTGGACTTGTTTCTGTATGTATTTTGCACGTTTATGCCTTTCTGATAGGACTTGTACTTGTTATTATCACATAAATATCAACTAGATTTGGCATGTATGCATTGTCAATTTAGGTATGTTTTGTTTTGAGGCTAAACATTTCTTGTACAACCAGTTTTGGCCTGGTTTTGGGAGGCTAGGAAGGATGATTTATGTTCACATACTTGGCATTTGCCCTATCAATAAGGATGTTGTCATGGGAGAAATCCTTTTTCAATTACTGTTGTCATGGAAGAAATCCTTTTCCAATTACTGAACTACAATCAGGTGCTAATTCCAGCTATGTCAAACCCAGGTGTTACGATTGGATGGAGTTCAAAACTTCAAATATTATTGGATGGGAGAATCTGGTGCTTCATTTGGTCACGCATGAGAAAGTACAAACACATTTAACGATACATCATCTTAAACCCCAAAAATACACCTTTCAGGCTAATAAACCCTTATATATATGTGTGTATATTTATATATATGTGTACATTGCCCTCTTTCTAATTACTTTCTTCTAATGTAGAATCTTTAACACATCTTTCTAATGCATATAACTTTTTTTTAATTTTTTTTTTTAATATAGGATCTTTGACATGTCTTTTAACTCTATCTCACATATGAACCTATACTCCAACAAGATTAACCTCCTGCATTAAATTTTAAAACGTATTAGAGCCCATCCACCTTTTACATAACGTGTCGTATGTTTTCCATACCTACCTGGTGGGGTTGTCCAAATAAGAGTGTGCAATTTGCCCACCAAATAACTAGTGGGATTTTCGTACCAAAATTGGGACCCTCCTAATTAATGTTAATAACTGTAAAGTCCCCCACTTTTCTTTTTCGTTTTTTCGGCCCACTTGATTAAAAACCGACCTAACTCAAAACACAAAACAACCGTAGTAACTCCATTATAAAGCCACAGTCCAAAAGGGATGAGAGGAGTTACTTTCAATCGTCTCTATCCAAGAAAAATGGCTTAAATTGACATGAGCAAGAACAAAATTCTGGGACTTGGATAAACAAGCCACAAGTCTTGATCAAAAGGGGCCAGGCATCGATCACCTAGCACCAATTGAAGATCAAAGCTTTCATGATTTCATTGGAAATCATCAAATGCACAATAATTCTGCTGCTACCCTCCAAAAAGATAACATACCTAACTGACTAATAGTTAGGTAACATTTTCTTTATCACTTGTAATAATAGATCAAAATAATTTTTCAATCTTCCAAACAACTACAACCCTTTAATGAATAAGGCCCACGTGGGGAGAGGAGATCTTTATGCTATGCTATGGTTGTTTAAACTGATATAATTTAGGAGTTAATGTCAGAAAAGTTTTGGGCTGGACAGGTAGGGAGATTGATGGAGACAACAAATTAATGGAGAAGAAGAATGATACAGTAAGCTATATATGGCATATCCAAAGCGATTAATTGATTCAATATAATATAGCCGAGTTTGGTATAATAAAGACATGGTTAGATAGTACTATGCAATGCAGATTACACCACTTTTATCATTAAATGAAAATGAGATTTAGCTCCTTTAATAATTTATGTTATGTACTCTAAACTGCGAACTGCAAAATTACATCGTATTATACACGGTAAAAGTTGTCCACATGGTTGACACCATGAATTGGGATGATATATGAAGCCATCACACTCAAATTACTTATCAATCCAAGGGTGACTACCACCTAACCCATGTGCACTTCTTTGCATCTGAGCCACACACTATCCCATCGTCTCAATGCTTCCTTATCTTCTTCCTGATCATTACGCTGTTAACTTTTTCTACCAACTAGGGCTTTGCTATCTTACGCCATTGTGCAACATGCGCACCCTCCCCACATGTGCATAATAATTATCCATCATCTAATTGCTTTTTCAACATATCCTTCAAAATCCACGATGAGATCTTTGACACAGAGAAAATTCCGTCACCTTCTCCAAATTGATATTGTCCCATTTTCAGCACTAAATCTTTAGCACATGGATCATCCTTTATAAGTCGCATGTGATCCATTTCATACCAAGATACCAACTACTAAATCTAAGTTTAGATATCCTGTTACAATCATAAAAATTTAGATCTTTTATCTCACTCTATATATATTAAGTAATATAAAGAAGACGAAAATTTAGGATAAAAATTTAAAACTAATGATATGATATAATATAAGTCATATAATTAAATTAATTAATATATATAATATTATATATCTTAAAAAATTAATTATTAAATAATATAAAATTTACTTTTTAATATTTTAAATAACATAATTTATATCACATCATTAATCTTAAATTTTAATTTCAAATTTTGATCTCATTTATAATTATTCATATATATTATATCGTGTCTTTTTTTTTTAAAGTTATTTGCTACTTTTTTTTCCTTTAAAGGGTTAACTTGTGGCAAAAGTTGAAATTGCACAAAGCATAGGTTTTTCAAAGAAGATTTCTAATTTTTTTAAGAGTTATTTTTAGCTTTTAAAGAAGTTAAAAGTTTTTAAAAAAATCTATTAATTTCTTAAAAATATTACTTCCTACATAGATTATTTGTTATGGTGTTAAGCTTATTTTGGTTGTTAATAAACTTTTAAATTGGATTTTTTAAAATTTTTATAATTATTTTGTGTGAATTCATAATTCAACAAATTTAAAGAAAAAAGTATTCAAATACAGAGTACATAACTTAATAAGAAGGTTCCAGCTACAAGAACCATACTAATATCAAAATATCAAATCCTCTCACCATATAAGTACTTAACCCTTCTTGAATAGTAGCAAATACTCCTAACAAACATTATCTTAATTGAATTAATTTTTTTTTTACATCAAAGAATTAATTATTTAACAAAATTTTAAACTTCAAATTTTAATTTTAAATTAATAATTTTAAATTAATAAATATTAATTTGATTAAGTTTTTATTTGTATCTTACTCAAAGTAAATAATGCTTCTTTTATAAATAAGTAAGGGTTTGTGTAGACAGAAGTGAAACAAGTAATTATAAATGTATTATTTTATGATTAATTTATATCAAAATATATAAAAATTAAATTTTATTTTAACTTACAACTTGAATAATTTTAATTAATAAATTAATTAAATCCCATTCAATTTCAAATTTCTTGTTTAAATTAAATATAAAAGGGTGCAAGCACCTTAAATTATAAAAAAACCGTTTAAGTAAATAGAAATCTACTAGTGGTGAAGTGAAAGTCGTGATCCTAATCTTTCAAGGGCGCATATACCAATTAATTAAAATTTAAAATCAGCCAAATCATCCATAATTATATCAATGAAAATGCTAATCCAGTAATTAAACATGTAGTTGGAAGCAATTAGGGAGAAATTGAAAGATTTAGAAAATCTCTCACAGTTGAAGGAAGGAAATCTCCCTCTCTCCGAGCTTTAAAAAAATAAAACCGGAAAGAAGATGGGCTGAGGTGAGGTGGTCTGGTCTGGTCTGGTGGCGTGGCGTGGCGTGGGGATAAGGAGGAGGAGGACAGGGAGGACGTCGGATTGGGGCCTACGACTACGAGAGATCAATCGGCGCGGGTCCCACCGCCGCAACTGCGCACATGACCCTGCCCACGTCCGACGGCTGCCAACTACCACCCAAAAAGAGGGAAGTTGGTAGCGTCTGGGACAACCCCCTCCCCCTCCCCCTCAATTAGTTTAAATTATAAAATATAAAGTTAATAATTTATGTAATTTAATGATTTTTTTATAAATAAAAAAATTTTAAATTTGATATATGGATGGAGAGACGAATTAG